AAAATAAATTTTATTTATACATTTAAGTTAACTTTGTTTTTCTTAAAAAAAAGTCAAAAGATTCAACCGACTAAATTATAAATTGCATCCATTGATAAGAATACCTGTAGCATAGAAATATCGAATGCTTTTAAAATTCTAAATTACAGAGGTACACAGAAAAATGTCCACATGTGTAAAACATGTGTTTGGTTTCACAAGTGTTCAACACATGTTTTTCACATGTAAAACATGTGTGTAAATAAACACATGAAAAATATGTGTTTTATTTATATGTAAAACATATTTAATATACACATGTAATACACCTGTGAGATTATATATATGTTAAACACATATTTTTCACCACACATGTATAACACGTATTATATATATGTAATATATGTGTGCGAAAATACAGATGAATTATACATGTTTAATTTATATAAAATATATGTGTATTCATATACACATGTTATACACATGTTTAAGTTTTATCTCATATGTGTGTACAAAAGAATTTGTAAATGTTAGTTTTACTTTGTTTATCCCCCCCCCGTTTTCCCTTCTAAAAAAAACTTTCACAATTTTTATTTCTGTTATAATGCATTAATCAGACAAAATTGATAAAGAATAAATTCATTTTCTTTTCATTTTAAATCTTTTGGGCTTGGCTTACTTCTTGAGTAAAATTAAAATAATTCCGTATTTGTCTCCGGGCCGGTTTTGTCTTTTATCGGATGAAAATGTACGTCATTTTTGACGTCACTGGTGAAGCAGACGTGCTTGGTGTATTGGAAAGGTAAGTGATCTCCAAACAATTTTTAAAGACTTTTAATTCACACCGTGCATAACCCCACATATGGGGGCGCGGAATGGTGGTACCCGGGGGTGCGGAATTCGAAGCGGAATTTGCAATGTTCGTTGACCTGATTAGCTTTCCTACAGTGATTGAGATGAAAATAATCCTTTATTCACTTACGGCGGAACACAGTGATATCCCAGCTTACTGTTACTCGTTTCCCAGCTCGGAACTCGTCCTAGAAATACATGAACACTTCTGCAATATCTAACAAGAGTATGCGGGAACGCAAAGTTGACCGTTTCTTTGTGAAAATTGGTGCCTTATATATAATTCAACTTCATTTGATTTATGAGAGGGACTTCTAGATATGATTTTGCTCCAGACACTCTAATGTTTCGGAGAATTCCACCTCAAATAAAGGGGACAGACTTCAATTTAAGTGTGTGGCACTCGGGGGTGAAGATTTTAGTGGAGACTGGGGGAAGGAATAAATCTCTAACTAATGGAAAGGAATCGTTTCTCCATAAAAATTTATAGTGATTATACAAGCATTGAATTGCTACAATAAATTTATTAACTCTCTCATAATTTCATAAACCTTTTCCCTGAATAAGTGCGTTTTAGGGCATATTTAAACTGTTTACTAAACATCTATTTGTATATTTCGATATGATTTAAGTTTAGTTGTAACACGTCATTTGATTGGATAAAAGATTTAATTTATATCGTATCACATAACTCAGAGCGAACAAAATTGGAGCCTCCATTGGTACCACCTTTATTGGATGTCCTACAGTTGCTGACGACATAGCCTTCATATCGCATAACCCATCGGACCTACAACAAGCGCTACATATCGTTCACAATGAAACCAAGCGAGATAAAGTCACCATCAACTCTTCTAAAAGCGACGTTATAATAATAAACGCGCACAAGAACAGACCAACCCAGACCTGGACTTTGGGTGACAAGGAGATAGAAGAAGTGGAAACGACAAAACATGTTGGATTGATAAGATCATCAAATGGCAAAAACGACATCCAAAGTAGAATCCAACTGGGCAGAAGAACGATGTATGCACTACTTGGGGCAGGACTGCATGGAAAAAATGGTATCAATCCTAAAGTCTCTTATAAGATCTACACCACATTCTGCAGACCAAGAATGACATATGGATTAGAGGCTGTCATACTATCTAGTAGCGAAGAACAAGAACTGCTCTTTTATGAGAGAAAGTTACTGAAACAGATCCAAGGGCTATCAGTAAAAACACCTATCGTTGCTGTGTACTCACTCCTGGGGGCTATACCAATTACTGTATGCATAGAGAAAAATACACTAACAGCATTCTACAAGATCATTAAGAATCAAGAATGTGCAGAATATGAAGTAGCCAGACGTCAACTTGCGCTAAAAGATCAGAACAGTAATAGCTGGTTCACACATGTAAGGAAACTCCTACAGAAATACCACCTGCCTACTGCCTACGAACTAATGGAAACACCACCCTCTACAGGAAAATGGAAAACCATGATAGACCAGGCTATACAGGAACACCAAACAACCCAATGGCAGAATGAAGTAATAGACAAACCATCCTAGCACTGCAACCAAAATCAACAAAGCAAGCACACCAACTATGGGACTACGTACCAAATAACACCAGACCAGTAGCAAAAGCTTCCATCAAGGCAAAAATTGTAACTGGAACATATATCCTACAGTCCAACAGAGCTAAGTTCAACCAGCACACAGTCTCTTCAACCTGTCTTCTATGCAATGCCGCCAGTGAGGATAGAGAACACCTTATTCTGCACTGCTCCACATACCAAGCCATCCGAGATAAACATCTAGATGCACTATACCAACTACTAGTCCAGCACTATAACCCTCAGACCGTCAGTAAGATTATGTGCAATTCGACTAACCTTTTACAGTGTCTGCTAGACAGTTCTAAGACTGAGATCTTGGACATTCTTGGAAAAAACAGTGTGATAACAAGTAATATCGAAGAGATAAGCAGGAACCTACTATTTGATATTCACAACAGTAGGGCAGTGAACATATCTCGATTATAGACACTACTCTGATAATGACATTATTAAACATTTTTTAGAAATCTACCTGTCCTCACAGGGTGCTCCGAAGTCAACGGAGGAAAATACAAGAAACAACAACAACAACAACAACTTGGCTACGTATTAAAGTATGAGAAAATGATACCTTTTTGGCTTTTAAGTGTACTAGCATGTACGCTATTTTATTGGCAAATAATTTCAATCTTTGTAAGATTTTTGCAAATTGTGGAGATTCTTCAAAAGAAATTAATGTTAGATGAAAGGAACTTGTGTTATATAATTGAATTTTATTATTTCACCTTCATATTTGTCGCACCTTAGGATTAGCTTGCCATATTCGACTATATATTTTCCGAAGTAGTACAAATGACAAAGTTCAGCTTAACATAGATATGTAGTTTAAGTAATTGGATAAATAAGTGTAATTAGAATTAAGTTTCTCAATTTTTTCAAATGTATTTTTCATGTAGAAGTTGAAAGTACGCTCGGTTTCCCTGTGAAATCTGTGGAAAGACTTACTCAACAAAATCAATGTTAAAAAAGCATAAAATGTGTCATTAATCCTCTTATTGATCATTGTGGTAAAATCTTTGCTACAATACTGAATAGGCACATAGAAACAGGGGGGGGGGGCTTCCCCCTTTTTTACAACATTACCTTTACTATTGAAAATGTCCATTGAAAGGTTGGTTGGACCCCAAACTTCTTACCACAGTATGGTGATATCAAGGAATTGTAGCATTGTATAGCAACCAGAAAACCAGAAGTCTCTGTCGAGACTGAAGCTCTACTGGTTTGTACTCATAGCAAAGGAAGAGAAAAGTTCTTAAGCAGTTGGGAATTGAAACTTTACCACAGCAATAAAAATAATATTGATCCTTGATTAAGTCTCTTTATGTTCTTAGTGTAGTCTTCTTGCATGTCACATTATATTATAATCAGACTTAAACTGTATTTGGAGCAGCATTTTGAGAGTTTTTAACAGTTTCTATTTTTAGTTACTACGGCAACACCATTCATTGAAATCATAAACCGATACACAGAATTATGTATCTTAAGGTAGTCTACTTGTGTGCCTTGAAGTTATATTGAAATCAGGCCAAAACTGTAGGAGGTGTAGCATTTTGAAAGAATTTCACAGAAATTTCTATTTTTAGTAACAACGGCAACACCGTTCATCGAAATCAAAAAACCGATACACAGAATTATGTATCTTAGTTTGGTCTACTTGTGTGCCAAGTTATATTGAAATCAGACGAAAACTGTAGGAGCAGTAGCATTTTTAAAAATTGTTTACAGACAGACGGACAGACAGACAGCTAGACAGACAGACGGGCGGACTCTGACCAGTAGAGCTATAAATTGTCCACTACCCCCCCCCCTCCCACGAAAAAGGATTTTCGAGTTTGTTCAACCCCCCCCCCCTTTGTTTTTTTTTGCTTGTCAACTTTTACAGGTAAAAAAAAAATCTTCTTAATTACCCCCCCCCCCCCTTTTCAAAAAACGATGCTATGTTCCTGTACAAAGCACTATTTGTCGAATCATTTAAAAAAGGCAGTTCCAATTTAAATTGATGTACCAAGATCTAAACAATTAAAACAGAGCAGATTTTAAGAATTAACGTCAAGCGGAGTATAAACGTTTTTGTCGTAGCTCATTGTGAAGTTAGATGTCTATAAGTAAACAGTTAAATATGCCCTAAAACGCACTTATTCAGGGAAAAGGTTTATAAAATTATGAGAGAGTTAATAAATTAATTGTAGCAATTTAATGCTTGTTTAATCAATATAATTTTTATAGAGAAACGATTCCTTTCCATTAGTTAGAGATGTATTCCTTCCCCCAGTCTCCACTAAAATCTTCACCCCCGAGTGCCACACACTTAAATTGAAGTCTGTCCCCTTTATTTGAGGTGGAATTCTCCGAAACATTAGAGTGTCTGGAGCAAAATCATATCTAGAAGTCCCTCTCATAAATCAAATGAAGTTGAGTTATATATCAGGCACCAATTTTCACAAAGAAACGGTCAACTTTGCGTTCCCGCATGCTCTTGCCAGATATTGCAGAAGTGTTCATGTATTTCTAGGACGAGTTCCGAGCTGGGAAACGAGTAACAGTAAGCTGGGATATCACTGTGTTCCGCCGTAAGTGAATTAAGGATTATTTTCATCTCAGTCAATGTAGGAAAGCTAATCAGGTCAACGAACATTGCAAATTCCGCTTCGAATTCCGCACCCCCGGGTACCACCATTCCGCGCCCCCATATGTGGGGTTATGCACGGCATGATTCATATTGTTTAAATATCATTTCATTATAGTTACAGGTGCGTATAAACTTTCTATGTACATGTAATACTCTTATCATTGTGACTTGTCATGCATTTCGTAAACCTAACGATAGTGATCTGTAGGGCTTAAGTAATTTTGGAGAAAAACGCAGCAAGGATAAGGCTGTCCGTAAAATATCAAACTGTTCAAACTGTAGTAACTTCTCTGAACTACCTAGATATGACGTCATAATAGAATATGACGTCAAGTCACTGCATACTTGAGCTGACATGACGGGGAAAGTGTCATAATTTGTGGATGGCATGTAGATTTAATTTGGGACCTTATTGTTTAATTCAAGTGTAAGGATTGTTTTTAAGGTCCGATGTGTTATTATGAAGTTGAACATTTGAAATTTAAATATTCTTGTTTCTTTCGCTTGTCTGATATGCACATAATCAAACAATAGAGAAAACTTATGTGTGAAACACTCCCCTTACACGTCCGTAGACAGAGTTAGAATTGATGAATCGTGTTTATATTGGACTGGCACAAGTGAAAGACAAGGATAAATTGAAGATATTCTGCGTGAATCTACAAGCGAAGTATGTCCTCTAACTGAATTTTTCTGGGGGATTGTGTGTAGTTTATCCATTTTTGTATAAATTGAGATAAGGCGTGGAAAATACCCCCTCTTATGTTGGTAAGTTGGATTTCTCGTAAAATATTTTCTAAACGAGTAAAAATTAAACCTGCCCCCAGCACTTTCTATGTACCAGAGATCACGATGAATCGATCAATGTAACAAACTTTGCACAATATTTTTGTTTTGCACTTGTGCCAAAGCGATTTTTGTGCAACATTTAGGAATACATATGTATTATAAATCTCCGTCACGTGATCAAAACAGTCATGTGACATCACAAAAATACTTTATTATAAAACCTGTTTAAACTATCATCTCAAGTTGACTGCAATTTCAAACAAGGGTTACATATTGAAATTAAAATCTAGCTCTAAATAAAATATATATTTTTAAGGCATTTGAGGCCTTCGGACAGCCTTATCATAGCTGCGAATGTTTCTGAATGAATGTAAGCGGTTACATGTTAGGCTAAAGGCATTACTATTTTTTATAATTTGTATACAGGTAAGTAATTTTGGATAAATTTGTTTCTGAATGAACGTAAATATTACATGTTAGGCTATTTTTTAAAAGCATTAGGCCCTATTGGTTTTCCTTTTGTTACGTACTGATATGAAAGTGAAAGTAGAAACCTTGAAACCATTGTGACTGTCAGTTGGTGTTTATGTATGTTGAGATGGATGTCAAGTCGATTCTTTCATCAACTTAATAACAAGTGTTTGTTTTTATGGCCTATAGATGCATGCAGTAACTTGAGTTCAGTGTCACAGTGCTGCGTCTAAAAAGCCCAAAGATGATAAGCCTGGCGATTGATCCTAAGGCTGGTTTGACAGATGATTGCATCATCGCAATATTAAAGGTAAAAATAAATACTTGCAATAAAAAAATCAAAGTAAACATTTGTAATGACTCCTTCATGACAAAATATTTCTTGATAATTTCTTTTTGTTCCTTTATAATTCTACATTATATTGTTTGCAAGACTTTATAAAAAATAAGTCCAACTCAATACTACAATAATTTTATTCTATATCATAAAACAGTTTTAATCCAGTGCACTTTTAAAATATGGAAAGTATGAATAGAATTTGCTGGCTTTAAAAGCTATGAAACTGGTACATGTACTGTAAATGATTTCCGGGGGGGGGGGATAATTGATTTTTTTAATTTCAGTTAAAAATTAATAATAACAGTGACATCCAACTTTCAAGGTACAAGTGCATGTGCATATGTGATGATTGTTGAAAGCTAGTACATCAGCTAGTTAATCCATTGGATATTTACATGTACCTGACATTTATAATTTTTTTTCCAACACTAGAGAACATAGTTTCTGGTAAAATGTAAGATATTAATTAAGACTATTAAGAACCTACAAACATGTACTCACAAAACGTACTGCTGGTATAAACAAAGTATCCGTAAAGTTAAATTTAGAATTGGCAAGTTTTCACTGCTAGTATCATTTGAAATTATTTAAAAATGGAAAGTTTATTATGGGTTGGATTCTTAATGTTATAATTCAAGCTTTAGGAAGTTTTTTTTTTTTGTTTGACATTTTATTCGTGTTGCATTTTATTTTATTTGCTTTTTTCAATTGACAGAACAGAAATTAGTTATACCGGAGAGAGTCTTAACCAAAATCAGAAAAATAGAAAAGATTGAATTATTTATGGAAGCACAGTTTTTGTTTACGTAAATTCAGACATTCAATTAGATTTGTTTAGATAAATATTCTAAAAAAAACCAAGAAGGATATGGTTTGAATTAATTATTTACACTATTATATTGATAGAATCACTGACATTTTAATATTTAAAGCAGAGGACCACACTTTTCCCTTTTCCCAAATAACCCCCAAAGCTGTAAAGTTAACTTCTAACGGTTAAATCAAATATCAGATGTTTTTTAATTTATTTTGTACCTAAATAAATTATTTTTTTTATTTTATCAAAATGCTGCTTTATTTCTATGATGTATAAGGTTTCTACGGCGGGTGTGACCGGTCG